TCGTTCTTTAAAAAGACTTTCAAAGAAATCACCTAGAACCTGCAAACCCTCCCACAAAGAAAATGTAAACACTGAAGGTGGAGACAATTTTACTTTATATTTCTGAAGTATTACCATGGAATTTCCTTCAAACAAACATGCCATGAAGTTAAGGAAATTCACTTAACACAGTGTTACTTACTTCCCCCTCGGTAATCAAGTTGAAGAAACACTTCCATACTTAAAAATTACTTCCATATTGTTCATTCCATCCCAATGGGATTTTCACTTAGTAAATCTGTTTCTCAGGTATCTGCTATGCATATGGATTCAAAGTGGATGATCACTTAATCGAGGGACTGAAAAAGCAGATTGGAACCAACAACTCGATTGTTCAAAACACCAGAAAATAAGATTGGAGACACAAATCAAAGAAAACTTTTCCAAGGATTAAAGGGACTGGCACAAGATCTCTTTCTGAAAGCCTTGGGTTCAGTGGTATACGTCAGTGATGGACTAGAAATGACAGATGTGGAGATAGAAGCAATTTGTAGCATATTACCAAACAAACCCAAAAACTGCCTTTGAAGTTAAGAGGATGCTGAAAGAGAACTTAACCTTATTAGAAACCCTAACAAAATGGCTGGAAGACTATAACTTTATTTTTACTATTTTGTGAATCATCTTTACTTTTTGATTATACCTATTCAAAAAGGCAGTTGCTTTAGAGTGAAAAAGCCTTCCAAATTCAAAGCAGATTTCTCTGCATTATATTATATCCTTCTTAAAAACCAGAGCTTTAAGTGACAGTATTTAGGCAGCACAAAACATTTTCATTTTAATGTATTTCTTTAACTCAGTGATTTAAAAAAGTCTCTAAAGCGGCCGGGCATGGTGGCTCATGCCTGTAATCCCAACACTTTGGGAGCGGCCCGGGCGATCACACAGGATCAGGAGTTCACAACCAGCCTGGCCAATGTAGATGAAACCCATCTCTACTAAAATGCAAAAATTAGCCAGGTGTGGTGGTGAAGCTATGATCATGCACCTGGGAGGCTGAAGCGGAGAATCGCCCACGACCCCCAGAGCGGGAGTTGCAGTGAGCTGAGATCGTACCATAGCACTCCAGCCTGGGCAACAAGGCGACCTCCGTCTCAAAAAAAAAAAAAAAAAAAAAACCACAGTCCAGGCAATGCGCTGACATCATTGTTCCTTAACGTGTTTCTGGTGTACAGTTTGCATGTACTTTCCGTGCAGTTCTGCTTTAGGATGCTTACTTTCTTATTTGCGTTTTGTTTCTATAAAGTACTGCAGATAAACTGAAAAGGCCAATAAATTGCATATCTTCAGAAGGATTTCACATTTAAATACGTGCCTTTAAAACTCTTTTTTCCCCCACATGGGAATCCATTTTGAGTTAGAAAAGTATTCACCCAAGTGTTAATAGTTTTGTCTTACAGATGATCCATTTATATCACCAATATTTAATATAAAAACAACCTGGTGTTTAAAAACCTTGTTTGTGTATCAGTTATGAAAATATCTGGTAGTTGGAAATCTACACAATATTCATTTTAGGAGGAAAGGGCACATCTTTTTTGGAGGGAGTTATATTTTGTATTAATCAGAAAATACTAAACAAATGTGTTTTGTAGGGAATATTGAGAATGAAAAAGCAATTGTTAGTTGCAGGACATAAGCTAAAAAGACAACGCTTTTTTATTATTTATGGAGAACTTATAATTCTTTAGGAGAAAAAAATACAAATCATTAGATTGTTCACCTAGCCTGGCACTGTGGCAGGTGCTGGAGATACAGTAGTGAATAAAATAGCCACTGCCTTGTAGAGTTTTGTGCCTGTCTACTAGGAAAGACAGGACATTATACAGTAATTATACAAGATGCCAATTGTGATATATACATGAAACATATAGCATTCAGAGAGACATAACACATACAAGATATACCCATAAAGCTGAATTTTTTTTTTTTTTAGATGGTCTCACTCTGTTGCCCAGGCTAAGAGAGAGAGCAGTGGAGCGATCATAGCTCACTGCCAAGTGTCAAATTATGTTCTTAAGCCATCTTCCTGCCTCAGCCTCCCAGTAGCTAGGATTACAGGCATGTGCCACCATACCCAGCATGTTTTGTATTTTTTGAGACAGAGTCTCACATTGTACCCAGACTAGTCTCAAACTCTGGCCTCAGGTAATCCTCCCACTGGGCCATAAGCTTGTTGATTTTAACTGTGGGAAATGGGAAAGAATATCTCAGGATATTTTTGAAAGCAAGTTTATTAGAAAGTAAAGAGAAACAGGCCGAGGCGCGGGTGGCTCCAAGCCTGTAATCCCAGCACTTTGGGAGGCCGAGACGGGCGGATCACGAGGTCAGAAGTTCGAGACCATCCTGGCTAACACGGTGAAACCCCGTCTCACTAAAAATACAAAAAAATGAGCCGAAGCTGTGGCGCCTGTAGTCCCAGCTACTCAGGAGGCTGAGGCAGGAGAATCGTTTAAACCCGGGAGGCGGAGCTTGCAGTGAGCTGAGATCTGCACTCCAGCCTGGGAGACGGAGCGAGACTCCGTCTCAAAAAAAAAAAAAAAAAAAAAAAAAGAAACAACAGAATCGCTACTCCATAGACAGAGCAGCCTCTGAGGACATTTTATAGCTTGTGCAGTGACACTTGGTTATACAAGTGAATGAAGGTGATGGTCATAAGAAAGTGGAAAGGGGATAGAGTACAGGTGAAGTTTGACAGGATGTAGTCATGGTTTGGAAGTGGAAAGTGAGGAAGAAGAAAGGACTTCTAGCAAAAAGGCTAGATGTGCAGGATCCTGGGGGAAAAAAAGAGTGAGTTCAGGAGCACTTGGTTTAGACTTACCAGGTTTACAAGGCAGTTGTATCTCTGGAACTAAAAAGTATAAATTTTGAAGTTGTATACAGAAATGGTACTTTAAGCCATAGAATGAATGAAATTGTAGGAGAATGTAGTGTGAGATAAGATCTGAGGAACTCCAACATTTAGGGGTTGACTAGAGCAGGGTAGCTGGCCACGAGGACTGAGAGTTGCTTAGTGAGGCTAGAGAAAAACCTGGCAAAGGGGACTAAGGAGTTGACAGGGTAATGTCACCGTTGTCCACAGGGAATGGCTGAGGTAGTCAAATGAACAGTTAGATGAAGACTGAAAAGTCCACTGGATCTAGCAATGTAAGATTTCACCAGTGACCTTAGCAAAAAGCACTTTTTGCTGGATAATTGGGAAAGCCATTTTTGGAGTACGTTGAAACAATGAATGGGAAGTGAGAAAGTAGACACTGGATGTACAGCAGTTTTCAAGAAAGGTTAGCTCAGAAGGGTAGCAGGCAGGATGAAAAGTGGAAGAGAAGTAAAGTCACTGGAGGATTGTTAAAGTACAGCATGTTTGAGTGTCACTGGAAGGTTCAGTGGAGAAACCAAAGAAGTAGGTAAAGTTAAGAATAGCCCAGGGACAGAGTCACCTGGAGCAGGGGAGGAGAGATGGGATTCTTTCAGCCTCTTCAGCAAGAAACTGAGGAAAAAAAAAACCCAAAACTGTAGCACCTGATGTTTCAGAAAGGGAATTTAGAAGGAAGTAATATAAGCAAAACAGCAATATTCTGTGACTATTTTAATAATACTTACAGGAAAATTCCTAGTGCAGTTAACTCTAAATAAAATTCATTCCCACCTGCACAATACAAGATAGACTAACTCAGAGTGACCTTGGTAAAAGGTGTAATAATAAAGAAATGGGCCGGGCGCGGTGGCTCGAGCCGTCAGCACTTTGGGGCGAGGCGGGCGGATCACGAGGTCAGGAGATCGAGACCATCCTGGCTAACCCGGTGAAACCCCGTCTCTACTAAAAATACAAAAAAACTAGCCCAGCGGAGGTGGGGGCGCCTGTAGTCCCAGCTACTCAGGAGGCTGGGGCAGGAGAATGGCGTGAACCCGGGAGGCGGAGCTTGCAGTGAGCTGAGATCCGGCCACTGCACTCCAGCCTGGGTGACAGGCCGAGACTCCGTCTCAAAAAAAAAAAGAGCGAGACTCCGTCTCAAAAAAAAAAAAAAAAGAAAGAAAGAAAGAAATGAGGTGTCATTATGTCTTCATTGTAGCTTTATATGAAGCCCTAGTCATTTACCATATCAACATCACCAAACTGAACACTGAATGATCCTTACTCCAAGAGGCAAGTCTTCGTGGTTTCTATTTTCACTGAAGGAGAGATTGATTTCTGAGCAAGACTGAAAAAGGTGACCACCAATTCTTTGGGCTTCTCTCATCAAGAGGTGAAGTCCACTATGCCACACCTTAACTCTGGGCTGGCTTTGTTGTTTTTGGCCAGTAGAATATGGCTGAGGCGCTGCTTCCAAGATTAGGCCTCAGTTGAGGTGCCCTAGCAGCCAGGCAGCACCAGCCAGAGCATGAATAAGGTTATCTTGGACCGCCCAGCATAGCCAACCGGTGCTGAATGAAGCCACATGAATATGCCCGAGAAACTAGCAGAGGAATCACTCACTTTGCCCACATGTTAGAGATAGAAGCCACTGTTTGAGGCAGTTTGTTACGCAGCAATACTTAGCCGAAACTATTACCTTGCTACCTTGACTACTGGGGTAGTCTCCCATCTCAAGGAACCACAGGGTTTTCTTGCCAACTGCAATGAGTTGGCAAATGGGAATGAACACTCGCCTCAGTGTGTTTTCTGATCCACTCCATCCTGTATTATCATCTCTGTACTGCGAATACCATTTATTCCTTTAAATGCAATGTGTCTTTCAAAACTGACTTGAATTTCCTCACCTTTCGAGTCACCTGCCACTTGGACTCACTTATTTGGAGGAGATACGTAAAGACCCAGCGTAACGCCTACATGCTCAGTAAAAAGTATTTGCGGGTCCTCCTTCCTGCCCGTCGTGTGACCTGACTGCTCTGGGCTTCTGGGGGCTCCCCCTAAACTAGCTCCACGAAATGCCCCCTCCAACCTAGCACATTCGCTCTCCTACCTTCGCCCAGGGGTGGCCGTTATCTCTGCGCTGTCACGCGCGGAACGCCCATCTGAACTGGGGCCTTATGACTTTCGGTACTTTTTTTCGAACGTGGCCTGCGTCCCTGCCTCGAATCTGGTTCCCGCCCTGAAGGACCCTTACTTAGCATCCCTGCGGGCTGCGGGGACCCCACGACCCCGCAGGCGGCGAGGCGCGGCGCGATCCCTGCGCGCCCCTCCTGCTCCGGCGCTCCAGGGGGCCGGCCCTCAGGGGGCGGGGCAGAGTCGCGCGCAAGGCCTGCCGGTTGCTCGGGGTCGTACGGCGCACTTTTCCAACTCGAGCCCTCGCGAGGCCGTGTGCACGACCGGAAGCCGCAGGTGGGTGAAGCGGAAGCGCTTCTAGCCGGGATGTTGCGGGCCGTGGCGCGTGGGCGGCCGTGGTCCCTGGGCGCGCGCTGGGTCTCTGGCGGTGGGCCAGGGCCTGCGGGTCTCCCCCGCCAGTAGTGAAGGGTTCTGTGTGCACGCTTTCCCCTCGGCGCTTGGGACGACCTAATTTCACTGTTAGGAAGGGTCGACCCCGAACACAGGAGGGAGGGTAAATACCGTAAAACATGTTGGAGGCTAGCTGTGTGCACGCCCCCTGGGAGCCAAAAGGGCGAAGTAAAACATGCACACGACCGTAATGAGATTCTGAGTAAGTTGTATATTACCAGAGAGGGGGCAAAATAATAGGGTCTTAGTAAGGTCTTATGAAGAAACTGCGCCTGCCTAGAAAGATAGATGGGATTGTGCTGTTTTCGCTTTCAGTTCAGTGATGGGGAGGCGTGTTTGGCAGTGCAGAGGTAGGGAAGTGTCCCAAGAACGTGGAAGATAAGGAAAAACTTTATAAGATTAGTCATTAAAGGGTAAGAGTAGAAGGATTCAAAGTGATTTTTAAGGAACACAATTTAACCAGACCATCAAAGGCTTAACATTGTCCCAACGACTGTGAAATATCCTGAAATACTGTGCATTACTCAGTCGGGGTCTGATCCGCTACTGGAGCATAGAATAAAAAAAGAGGGGCGCACCTGTGCCAGATGAATCCACGCCTCTAGGGGAGAGAGGGTATCCCGGCTTAAGAGCAGGGGCTCTCCTGAGTTAAGGAAGTGTTTTCCTCAGAGCCCATTCCGTCAGACATTCAAATCATGTAACTCAGTCCTTTTGTTCTGAGTATGTATTCACCAAGCAAAATTAAGAGTTGGCTTGTCAGTAGTCTTACGGTAAATAATTGGACAGGCTCATCTGAATATCTGATTGGTGGCCTATGGTTCTCTTTGTAAATCAATAAGCTGGCAGTCAGGGATTTTTGGACATCCCTTTGTTTTCACTTTTTTCACTCTGCGTGATTCTTTCTCATCTTTCGGGGTTCAGTTGAAAGGTCACATCCTCACTGAGGTCTATTTATTGGTTTATGTGTTCAGGTGGTTAGAACAGCTTCTTGCATCTTTTCTCACATGACGCCTTCTTAATGAGGCTTAACCTAACAACCCTATTTAAAATTGCAACGTAAGTTTTCTTACATACACATTTCCAATCCTCCGTGTCTCAGCTCTACTTTTTTTTTTTTTTTTTTTTTTTTAAAAAATTGCAACGTGTTTTCTTACATACACATTTCCAACTTCTCCGTGTTCCCAGCGCTCTACTTTTTTTTTTTTTTTTTTTTTTTTGAATAGACCGACCTCAAGCCTTCTTGCCCAGCCTGGAGTGTGGGCGGCAATGGTCTCTGCTCTCACTGCAACCTCCACCTCCCGGGTTCAAGCGATTCTCCCGCTTCAGCCTCCCAAGTAGCTGGGATTACAGGCGCCTCACCACGCCCCTGGTGGTCTTTTTTGTATTTTTGGTAGAGACGGGGTTTCACCATGTTGGCCAGGCTGGTCTCAAACTCCTGACCTCAGGTGATAGGTCCACCTCGGCCTCCCAGAGTGCTGGGATTACAGGTGTGAGTCACCTTAGCTGGCCGTCTACTCTTTTTTATAGCCCTCCTTATCACCTTTATTCATTTAACTCACTGATGAATCCCAAGTGCTGAGAACAATGTCATGTAATTGATGAGAACTTTGTTGAATTAAGACCTTTGTTGTGTTTCATTCACACTGTATATACAATACCTGGATGACTAGAGATATTCTGAGCACTATTAAAATACCTTCATTGGCTCAATACATGAATTGGATCAATTCTGGAACCCTAACAAGATCACATTTTTGATCAAAGTCAATATCTTGAACTATAATTTGTCAAGGTAAATGCCACTTTGACGTGTCTCGGTTAGGAATCCTTGTTCACTTGAGGGAATACATGTTGTATGATAGGAACAGTAAGCATAGAATAGAGGTGGGAAAGGGGGAACCCTGTCGTAACAGTTAATGTTTCGTATTTGCCAAACATGAATGGCTTATGCATATTAACACATTTAATTCTCTCAACCATTTTATGACGTCTGAGGCCACTGAAGCAGCTAGAGTCATTAGTAAGTGGCAGAGCCAGGTTTAAAAATTTAAGTCCTTAACTACTTTGCTATCCTTCCACACTCTGCATGTGCAGAGAAGAGTAAGAGCCTTAATCTTAGGAAAAGATATTTCATAAGATCTTTGACAATCTCCATATCCACAGACACCATCCAGCTTACTAGTGCCCGCCACTCCTATCTGTTACTTTCTCCGTTAAGGCTGCCTCCTACCTGAACTCTGGATCCCAATATCGTCACTTTCTCAAGGACCTCCCTTCTCCAATGTTGCCCTGTCTTGACTCCTACCAGCGTCTAAACATGCTCAGATCTATTGCATCTTAAAACTTCTCCTAACTCCACATTCCTTTCTACCTACTGCCCTAGCTTTTCCACTTCACAACTAGAATACCCTCATTGTATCCACCTTGGGCCTCCTATTTACTCAGTACATCTGGTTCTTACCAAGATCACTGATAACCTTCTTGATACTGTTTAATAGATCCTTTTCAACCCTCGTCTTATTTGCTCAATCTTTGGCATTTGGCACTGTTAGCCATCTTGTCTCCTTGAAGCTTCCATAAGAGCATCTTTAAAATTTTTCTGCCTTTTCTTCTATTCTCAGCTTCCTTTGGGAGCTCTCCCTCCTTCTTCTGTGTATCCCTTAAATGTCGCTGCTCTTCAGGCTTATGTCACAGGCCCTTAAATCTTCTCACTGAACCACCTTCCCGTGACCTCAGTTACCATCCATTGAGCTCTGTACCATTGGCTGCTAGTTCAACACAGTCAAAATGAACCAGTTATCTTAACCCCATACTTCCTGTTCCTATAAAATCTGTCCTAGGAAATTTCACCTCTTTGCCACGCCAGAAATCAGGGCATAATATTAATAAATTAGTTAACACATATTGTGTACTTTCTTCAGTGCCAGGCACTTCATATGTATTAGCTCATTAGACTCAACCTGATAATGTGAGATGAGTCCTGTTGTTATGCACATATTAGATAACAAACCTGAGGCATAGAAAAGTAATCTGCCTTAGGTCATTCAACTGATAAAGGATAGAGTTGGGATTTGAATGAGGGCAGTCTGGTTTGAGCTTGTAATCATTATATCATAAAGGACATGATCCTTGGCTTCTCTTTCTCTCACCCTAATTCAGCCTATTACCAAGTATTGTACATTCTCCATGCTTAACTCTCTAGGCGATGTCTCTGAAGTATAAACCCAAAGCCCTCATGCCTGTAATCCCAGCGCTTTGGGAGGCCAAGGCAGGAGGACTGCTTGAGCCCAGGAGTTTGAGACCAGCCTGGACAACAAAGTGAGACTTCATCTCTACCAAAAAAAAAAAAAAAAAAAAGGCCAGGCCTGGTGGCACATTCTGACTAAGGTGGAAGAATTGCTTGAGCCTAGGAAGTCGGGGCTGCAGTGAGCCGTGATCACACCACTGCACTCCAGCCTGGGCAATAAAGTTCAGGCCTGGAATACGCTCCTCAACCTGGCAAACGATCAGATTTGGTGACTCAGTTCAAGTATTTCACGTGGATTTAAGGTTCTTTATAATCTAACGTCTACTTCTCTTGCCTTCTTATTAACTCCCCATTCTTGTATTCCTAAGAACCAGCCAGTAGAATTAAATTATTTGCATGGGTCCTATCACCTTTTCCACTAAGCTTTTGCACATTGTTACAATTCTTTTCTTTACCCCTTTTATGTCTCAGCTTCAATGTCACATCCATTAATTACAGCATCAGATGGCCCTTTAATGTACTTACCACCTATCACAGCATTTAGGACACTATATTTTAATTATTGCCTTACTTGTTTTTTAGTATCTCCCACTAGTTTGTGGAGATACTTGTTTCTTGAAGGCAAGGACCAGTTCACCTTCTTCTTTTTTTTTTTTTTTAGACCGAGTCTTGCTCTGTCACCCAGGCTGGAGTGCAGTGGCGCGATCTTGGCTCACTGCAAGCTCTGCCTCCCAGGTTCACGCCATTCTCCTGCCTCAGCCTCCCGAGTAGCTGGGACTACAGGCGCCCACCACCATGCCCAGTTAATTTTTTGTATTTTTAGTAGAGACGGGGTTTCACCGTGTTAGCCAGGATGGTCTCGATCTCCTGACCTCGTGATCTGCCTGCCTTGGCCTCCCAAAGTGCTGGAATTACAGGCGTGAACCACTGTGCCTGGCCAGTTCACCTTCTTAATGTCACTCATATCCATTCCATTCTCTCTCTCTTTCTCTCTCTTCCTCCTACTGTACTTTAGGCCCTCATTATCTCTAGCATGGACAACTGCCTTAGTCCGTTAACTGTTCTCCCTGTCCCTAGTCCATCCTTTATTTAATCAATACTCAACCCTGCAGAGGCAGATTTGTATAATGGCTGAGTTAACACTTCCTGCTTAAAACTTCAGTGGATCTTAGCTGCCTTTTAAAAAGTCCACATATTTTAGTTCATTACATGAATTTATCTCCTCCCATTTTCTATCTTCTTACTGCCTTGTACCTAGGAGACACTCCATACATACTTGTTGAATGAATATGGTACTGTATCGAAGTCAGTCAAGCAGAACCAAGAACAAAGAGGTTAACCAAAGTAATGCAGTCTCAGTTGCGAGGCTTCCTAGGACAGAATAGCCACAGGCTTCAGTGGAACTTGAAGACTAGTACTGTAGCTCTTTCTCCTAGGAGGGAGTCCCCAAAACACACCTCACTATTACATGACTCTTTGTCTTTGCATATGCCTGGAATACACTCCTCGACCTGGCAAACTATCCGATTT